ACCTTTCTTGAGGCATATTTGGCATACGGTTGCAGAATTGCTGGATGGCCTGGTCGCATTCCCTGTAGAAACAAATTGTTTACCTTTATTTCATCTGCCATGACCGCGAGATGAGTATAATTAAGGCGAGGTTGGGGTCGTTGATAGAGTGATTTCGAGCAGCATATGAGGAAAGATTAATCTCCTCCCTGAGAAGAAGTGGGTAGAGGTGATCCAGGTTAATAGGGGTGAGCATAGTGTGAATGGCGGGTTTAAAAGATTGGTATGAGGTGGGTAATCCATTGAGAATATACAAGATGATATCCTCATTGTCGACAACGGAACTAGCCGCCTCGATTTGATCAACCAGAATCTTGATTTCAGACAGATATTGGGTCATGGTCACGTTCTTGAGAGAAATATTGTGAAGAATATTTTTGAGTTGAATGACTTTGGACCGGTTTGTGGATTGAAAAAGTTGTTTAAGCATAGACCAAATTACTGATGTGGAGTCAAGATTCACAGCGTAAGGAAGTGAAATGGTGGAACATAGGTAGGTAGACATACAAGTTTTGGTCGGTGAGTGTCCATTGAATGAATGAAGGATTCGGTTGAAGGGTGCCATACGAATCTTGGATCGTTTGAGAGGGAGAGGAGGAAGAGGGATCAAGATACTTATCAAAATCGTTTGCACGAAATTTTTTAGGATTTGTGATCGCCAAACTTTATAGTTTTCGAGATTGAGCTGATTCAGAACAAGGTTCTTGATGTTAGAAATGACGAATTTCAGATTGGGTGAGATGGCAGATTCTTCAAGAAAAGCCAGATCCATGCTCTCGCTTAGGCGCTAAGAAGCCGAGTTCGCCATGATCGCAACTCCTCACGACCTGCTCTTGATAGCATGAAGAAACTTAAGAAATGAAAGAAAACATAGGAAAGACGAAGGATATAGACGTAACAAAAGAAAAGAATTATATTGATTTCATATCTCCGATACAAGACAACATTATCTATATATAGAGGATAATAAGACAAATGCTCAATTACACCATGCCACATCAGTAATAGAAAATAATAACAAGTTATTTATTTTTATGTATTGATAAGCAATAGAGTGTTATGTGTAGAATCTGATTGTGTTAATCAATCAGGTTATTCTGTTGCCTTAGAAAAAGAACCCAAAAAATTTTTCCCCATAAAACACTTCGATGCTATGTACCAAAGCGCCTCAGCACTGTGTTTTCGAGCTCCCCAACGTTGAACGATAGAGAGCGGTGCACTGTAATGGTCTAGATACGACACCGCAGTGGATGAAGATGAAGGTTTGAGAGCTGTAGCATTGCGAGAAAGACTGCACTATTTTCTTTCTCATTTTTCTGAAGGGTTGTGTCCCTTGGGTTATTGAATTGGTTGTCTCTTGTATTTTGAGGAGAAAGATATTGAGAATGGTGTATGTGAGAAGAGAAGCAAGGAGAGAGTAAGAAATAAGAGAGATATGTATTTATTTCTCTCAATTTTTATAGTGAAATTTTTGGTGTGGTGTGACGCAGTGATTTTTTCTCTATTTTGGGTATTTCCATGTTAAATCATGTTGTCATTTATTTTTTTCACAGCTTTTACTTTCTTGCTTGTTTCGTTAATGTGGTGTTTACTCCTCATCCCCAAATAAATTCTCGAGGCATGTCGCTCTCTAAAATTTATAAATAAACCTCCATTCTCTACATGAGGGGAGAGCTAGAGCTTGAACTTTGGCTAGAGATTCAAGGAAGGTCAAATATTATAAGGATGAGTAGCATCACCGACCCACTATTTGACATACCACTCGGCAGTTGTTGTCAAACCACCACCCAACCTACTTTCTTTTTATCATCGTTGCATGACTACAATCTCCTAACCTTTATTGCATGATTAAGGTCATCCAACCACCATTGTCTAACAATGATCCTCCTATCACTTAGGCTTTTCTACAATCCTCTAACCACACCGCTCAGGTATGATCCTTTGACCATAATTGCAAAACTATGATCCTCCAATTATCATCGCCTATCTATAATCCTCTGACCACTGTGACCCAACTATAATCCTCCAACTACTGTCCCCTGATTAATATTCTTTAACCACTATTGTCCGACAACATTCTCATTATGATCACCTTGATACGATCCATCGACTACCTTCACTATACTATGTTCCTATCATGGTCCTACAATCACTATTGCTCGACTATTTCTAATCTTTATTGTCTGATTATGATGCCTTGCCCATTGTTGTTCTACTTAATTGCATGACTGGAGCCCTCTAACTTCTCTGGCCAACTATAATCCTCTAACAAACATCACCAAACTATAGTCCTCTGATCACTTCCACCCAACTACGGTCCTTTGTCACTCGTCGCCCGACTATTCTCTGCTAAACACCATCACTCGATCAAAATCCACTGACCACCTTCGCACAACTATTTCCCTCCAACCATTGTTGACCAACTATGATCCTATGACATCCTTTTCTCGACTATGATCCTTTAACCACTATTGTCTAACTATGATTCTCTGACATACAATCCTCTTGTCGTTATCGTCTAGGTACACCAACCATTTCTAATAATTTCAACATACTCCATAGCTTAAAAGATCGATGCATTCCATTAGGGGTGTTGGTGAGCCAAGCTAAGTAATGAGCTAACTCGAGCATGCTAGATAAATGGTTTGCAAGAGAGCTTGATGAGAGAACAAGCCAAACTTGAGCCAGTCCCGACTCAACTCATTAACTAGTTAACTTGCTCTTTTAAAAAAATAATACCTTAAAAAACTCTTAAAAATATATTAGTATTATGAAATTCAAGTGTAAATCTATTATAAATATTTAAAAATTATATCTCACATTATTATTTCAAGTATTTCTTTATTATTTATCCTTTTATTTCTCATTCTTTTAATAAATGTATTATATTAATTATTTAATTTATATTCATTTTCTCACTTTTGCAGTCGGCTTGAACTCAATTAATTAATCAAGCTCATGTTAGGGATGACTCGACCTAGGCTTGACTCATTTACACCCCTACATACCATCAACAATAACTCTAACTCTCGACATCAGTAAAAAAATAAAATTTATGCTGGATTCTTTGGTATATGTTTTTCCCTCCTCAAATGAGTAGACAAAATATACAACAAATACTCTTTATGAGACAACTCCTATGTTGTAGGACTTTTTTAACTTCCATCATGCAATTCATTAGACACAACTTATGTTTATTATATTTTATCAATCTTTCCCAATCACAGATAAGTGCATCATTATATTGTAAGAATGACAAAAACTCGGGTGTCTTTTGTGATAACGTTCATATTTATATTTATTAAATCTTTGTACAAGACTAAGTTAATAAACTCTTGGGTTTTACCACTACGAATATTATGATACACAATAAACTTAATTATTAATAGTTTAATATACGAAAACCTGATGTTTTTCCTGAACGGGATTGCTATCCAGAATTCTGCATGTTGGTAAACTGCTGTCCAACAGATTCCTGCAATTCCACACTAGCTGGCCAGCCCCAGAATTCAACCCATTGCTGTCCAGACTTCTCCTCGCTGCTGTTTCACATATCAAGCACCTGAAACCTGCTGTTTAGGAGATTTAGAACATGTAATTGCTATCCAAGGTGTCTAGCAGCACCAGGAGCAGGCCGAATCATGGCAGACCCTTATTGGGTGCTGTCCAGAGCCCTTCCACGAGTCCAGGCTGCTGTCCCAACTACTATGATTGTTGTCCAGAGGGCTCCGCACCTTTCCCTTGTTTTCCCACCAATTGGAGAGACTTTCGAAGGATGTTCAAGGCAGCTAGGAATTTCAGACTGCTGTCCAGTACTTGCAACCTGATGTCCAACACTTTGGGAAGCCATCTAGACCACATTGGAGCTGTCCAAGCTACTTCCCACTTGGTAGTTTGATGTCCAGGGAAATTTGCACATGTTTTTTTACTGTCCAGCCCGCTAGAAGGTCTTCAAACACTGTCCGGACATTCCAGACAGCTGATCACACCTTCAGGAATGTTCTTGAATGCCTCCTACTTCCTCCCAAGTCTTCTTACAGTCGTGGGAACTACGTATTTTCTGATTATTTGGGTAAACTCCACTCCAATTCTCTTATCTCCTTAGTTTACTCATCAATTATAGTTTTAATGTGATTTACGACGATCGTGCCAATTATTCTCCGTAAAGTTTAGTGTTTAGTAGAACTGTGCGATGGTCATTTCATAGTACTTATCTTATTATTAGCATAAGGATTTATTGTTGAAACCATTCATGTATGCAAAGTTAGATTAACTTGATTGTTTTCTGATCTTAACTTTTACGCGCGTGATTCGGCCTAAGCTTGTCTTACCGCTCTTTGTGTTTTATTGCGTCGTTTAAATTCACCATTAATATATAATTATTTGTTCTAGGAATATTAAGTGTGCAAATTTCTTAAAGTAATTCATCTTTGCATGTTCGTTCCACATCAAATGTTAACCTGAAAAGGAAAGGTCCAAAATTTCAAGATTCAGCAGGGATTCCATTGTGGTTTAAAACATGATAATATAATAAACATTAAAAATCTATAATAATTACTTAAATGGCAATATATATATATATATATATATATAATTTCTTTATTCAAAATTTTGAGGGAATTATTTACAAAATTTGAATTAAAAAAAATAATGTAGACGATATTAAAATTTCTATTTAAGTTTTTTACTTTAAAATTTAGTTCTCATACAGCATAAAATTTCGATATCTAATTTAGTTTTTTTTTTTTTTGAATGAGCATTTTTAAGGCCCATGATAACTAAACAATTATAGGCTTATTTATCCCAAAAAGATAAATAAATCTTTCTGTGAAATTTGATATTTTAATAATTTTTAGACATGAAATATTTTACCTAAAACAAAAACATATATACCATAAATTTTTTAAATTATTTATATATTAACCATTTAAAATTTTATATTAATTTACATACCATTATAATCTCTAAAAAATTTTGATCCTTCATAGTATTCCCCATGTACTTCCAACATATAGTATCTTTCTTGGTCAGTAAAAGCTTAGGCTATACTATATTATTGCAAGCCTCTCACAAAAGGTTAATAGGAAAAAACCAAAGTATTAAGCTCATTCAATTCACGCAGCAAAAAAAAAAAAAAAAAAAAATTCACGCAGCAACAGTGATCTTAGATCTCTCGTTGTTAGATACTTGAATTTTGGATCTGTTTGGCTGATTATTAGGCTCCCTCATGAATCTTAGCCTTCTCGTTGAATCTGCTTCTTTTCTCTCATCTTGCAAAATTTGCTTGTAACGACACTCTGCACTACAAAATCCTTGATCACCCCTGAAAAAGCAGCAATAAATCAAATCATTAACTATGAATTTTCATCAAAGGCTTTCTTACTGCTTTTTAAAGAGAAAGCCATCCCAAACGAAGCCTTACTGTTACTATTATTTTTTTTAAGCAACAGTTCATGATATGATCATCAAATCTCTGCTAAAACCTTAGCAGAATTAAACATTAAATAGCTAACTGTTAAAGTTTAGTAATTAGGCTAATCCATACCTGTACATATAAACCTCCTTCTGAAGGCTCAGCTCTTTACTGCATGAGAAGCAGTACTTGAGAAAATCAGCAGATGAATGCTTAGCTGGTTTATCCTTCTTCATCACTGATGATTTGATCAAGACTTTGGAATCAATTCCTCTATGTTTTACGAGGATCTGAAGCCCAACAAGACCATCTGTTACTGCTGCAAAAACTCCATTACTGGTGTCAGAATCCTTTTTCCCTTCCTGCTCTATGTGAAAGATGCTTCTGCTTCTTGAAAGCATCTCCGTTAGAAGAGGAAGGGGAAGAAGGAGAGAAGAAAGAGTGAGGTGAGAAATACTCAGAAAGGAAAGATGAAAAGATGATAAAGAGAAGAATGAGGAGATGAAGGAGTGATTGTTATTAAAGATCACATACTTATAACCTGCAAAGGACCTTTTTTTTTGGGAAAATACAAGAAAGGAGCCTTCAACCTTCTCATATGTTGCTATGGAGTATTTAATTCTTATTATGGATTCTTGTTCGGGTCAAGTTTGGAGCAGGGAGCCATTGATTTAAGGTTATGTAGTTTATGTGAGTTTTTTTGGACAGTAGGGTCATTTCATAATTCATTTCATAAACTTCAACGCGTTAATTTTTGAGTTATAGTGACATAATTTATTTCGCTCTCAGCTCTTTGTTTGAAGAAATTATTCTGTAAGGAGATCGGACGCAGAATGCTGTTTGGAGATTAATTATAATACATCACGTCAGCAATATTGAGCGATACTGAGCAGTACCGAGCGGTACCGAGAAGTACCGAGCGGTACCGAGCAGTACCGAGCGGTACCGAGCAGTACCGAGCGGTGCCGAACAGTACCGAGCAAAAAGTGATATGACACATTCTGATTGATCTCCAAACGACGTCAGGGCCCACACAGAATAATTGAGTGTTTTCAAAAGAAAATATCTAATATTAATAATGTGGAAGATAGAGAGGGAGAGAGAGCAATGTTTGATTACCATACACTAAAATTTGATTTGACATAGCTATACAGTTGTGCTGATGTTATGTTTGACAAAATTTCTTTAATGCGAATATTTTTTTTTTATGTTTTCTATGTAAAACGCTAAATAAATTTATTTTTCTATAAAAAAGATTTATTTTTCTATAAAAAAGGAAAAAAGTTACATTTAAAAAATACAAATTATTTTAGTATTAAACTCAATTTTTTTCTTAGTTAATTTAATATGATGCTCCTTCTAAAAATTTGATCAAGAGTAATAATAATAAGCAGATGCGGTTACAACCTAATAATAAAAAATAAGATGCAATAAGATATGGACATAATTTTTCTTGATAAATAATTAATATCAAAATTTTCCCTCAAAATATATGTCAATTTATACTATAAAAAAAAATCACAAAATAACACATGTAGTGATGTCAAAAAAGATTAATGGGTTTGGTTTGAGCTTGACTCAAAATTGATTAGATCTAGAGTTAATGGGTTCGGTTTGGGTTCGATCCAAAATTAACTTGATCTAAATCCAGCCTAATCGAAGTTGACCCATTTAATAAAAAAAAAAAACGAAATGGTAGATTCAAATCCGACCCACTTACAACATACATGACCCAAATAAAACTCGATAACACATTTTGATTAAAAAAAGTTTCTAATAATTTGCCAACTATAGATTTTAGGTTAATTAATAAAAAATAAGAATATCATACCAACAAGTAATAAAAGAATTCAAGGAAAAAATTAAACAGGTCAAATTCGGGATAAAATTTTATTCACGGGTCAACCCGAGTCCAACGCCCCACTTAAATTGGTCAGAAATTTGAGACCCAAATCTGAATTTTTTCAAGTCGGATCAGGATCAGATTCCCAGATTAGGTTAATTATTGACACTCCTAAATACATAAATAATTATATTACATAAACTATTTGAGAATCAACAAAAGAATAACTAATATGGGTTTAATTATAATTATGTTTAATATTAACTATGACACATAAATTATAAACATATTGGCCATTTAAATATATATTGTCAATAATCCAAAATAGGGTGCACGGGCACGTCACTTCAGGTTCTATTAAATGGTTATTTTATTTGTTTTTTTTTAATTTGAAAGCACCCTAAACCTAACCTAATGAAACAAAATAATTCCTGTAAAGTGTAAGACATAAGAGTATTTGAGGCATACATAAAGCGACTTTAAGACAAAATTTGGGTAAGGTCAATTTCTTAATAAATTGATTTTGGTAGGCTAAGATATTTAATTTTATGCCTACTGATTTTAATTTCTGGGGCATATTAAGATTTTATTTGGGACAATTTTTTTATTATTTTATTTTTATGATTGCAATCATAATTTATATTTGGTTATTTCTTTTTTTGTTGCTTTCAAAAAAATTTTGGGGAAGGAAAGTAGAAATTGTTTCTTTTGTATGATAAATTTCTAAAAAGTTACTTTTTCACATTAATGTTTCATTTGGGATAGTTTTTTTATTGCTTCTTAATTAGTTTTTTAATACAAAAATTTTAATTTTTGTGCTAAAAATTTATTTTAAGAAGCAAGAAAAAAGCCGTCCCAAGGCTTTCTTACTGCTTATTAAAGCAAATTTTAAGTACAATAATTAATATTTTTGTACTAAAAGGCTGCTTTAAGAAGCAATATGGAAGCTGTCCCAAATGAAGAAGCCTAAGATTTTATTTGAGATGACTTTCTTATGACTTTCTTAGTGCTTCTTAAAGTAGCATTTTAGTACAAAAATTTAATTTTTTTACATGAAAGCTGCTTTAATAAGCATTAAGAAAGCCGTTCCAAATGAAGCCTAAGACTTCATTTGGGACAGCTTTTTGCTGCTTTCTAAAATAGCTTTCTAGTTGTTCTAAACAATGATTTCAGAAAGCAGTAAGGCTTAGTTTGAGCCGATTTTCTTACTGCTTCGTAAAGCAATTTTTTTGTGCAAAAATTAAAAATTTTGTACTTAAAAGCTGCTAGAAGTAGTAAGAAAGTTACCCCAAACGAAACCTAATTTTAAAATCATCTTTACAAAAACCTGTCGTTGTCCTAAATAAATTCTAAGATAAAATTAGCTCTTCTGCTATACTCCTTATATTTTTGTGGCTATAGATCTTTCTTTATCAATGCAAATTTAAAATTTTATATGACAGATCAATCAAAATCTGCTTGAATCTATAGCCAATTCAAAGAAATTAATGCAAATAAAGAAAATATATAGCCATCTTCACCTTCTCTTATGCTACAAAATTCATATAGGAAACTCCTTATAAAAATTTTATACATAAATCAATTCTTACTCTTAAATTCATATTGAAATTTATTATTATTTTTCAGTTATATATTTAGATATTATGAAAATAAATCTAAATGAAAAAAATGAATATTAAAAATTATTTATAATTAAGCATATTTATAATATTCTTTTTTATTATTTATTTATAGGAATCTAAAGGCTGGTGAAAAAGCAATATCAATAAAAAAAAAGAAGTATATGATGAGTTAATGACGCTTAGTATAGACTGCCTTTGACATATCTCACACTCTTACTAACTTTATGGATGATTACTTCTCTTAATCCTATTTCTTTTGTATTGGGGTGAATTCCGTAGTGCCAATTGCATGAGGACAAGCAAGTGTAGGCAAGTCTGCCAGCGAGTGCTGAGCGGAGAGGGCTTTGGTTGTTGACTATCTTGAAGCCATTGGCGACCATTCTAGAGTCCCAATTTGATTTTGAGAAGAGGTGATTAAGCCAAACTTGTTGGGATAGTAAGCTCCTTAGTCAATTGATTGTAATGGGACAAGCTGAATTCTTCTTGAATAGATGCTTTCTTATAATAGTGAGTCATTTTGGTGGTCAGTTCTTGCTGAAGGGCGATTAACGAGTCATGTAATCCACAAGAACTCTTTACCTGAAAAGATATATGCAAGTACACAGAAAGAAATTTTTTATAATTGTAATGATTCTAAGATTAGCCATTCCCTAGCCAAAAAACAAGTTAGATATAAAGCTTTTAGATGAAAGGTAATTATATGATAATTTATAGGTTAATTATTTATGAAATACATAATTTTAAGAGCAACAATGAGTTGTCTATTAGAATTGAAAATTTAAAGAAATTTGTTAAGAAAATGATATGCAAAGAAGATTTTAAAATAGGAAGAATATTAATTGTAACATAAGTACATTATTAAAAGAGTTTTTCTCCTCGTTTAGAAATTAGAAAGCTTTAATTTGGGGATATTTTTTTAGGAGAATGAATAGGTGTAATTGAGTTGGAATATTAGACTGAAGGGTGCATATTTCTTTATTTATTATTTGAATGTGGACATATTTAAAATGCTGTAAAAACTATGGCAATACATCTTAGACAAATGGAATCCTACCCTTAATTGTTCTCATAATGTCGTAATTATCGACAAATATAAACCTCTGATTGTTAAATTACTCACTGAGTAGGGAACTTTTATTTGGTCCGGTGAACGTACGTAGAGCTACGTTCGGCCGGCACTAAGATCGCATGCACAAAACGAGAAATACCGAGCAATATCAACAATAACGAGAAATAACATTATGTGAAGACAAAATACCGAGTAATACCGAGCAATACCAAGTAATCCCAAAAAATACCGAGTTTTTTCTAGGGATTACTCGGTATTGCTCGATATAAAACTGCCTTAAGAAGCAGCAAAAAAGCCGCCCCAAACAAATCCTCGATATAGTATCTCAATATTGTGTAAATATAAAATTTAATGTGAAAGACATAACTCATAAGTCATGAATTATAGAATAACTATCTTATTGTCACACAGACAATGTATCATTGTAAGATAATAAGAATAAACAATATTTTAGAAGATATCAGATAAATCCGTCGAGCCTTTATAATTTGAAAGTTACATAATTTAATAATATTTTAGTGTTTGTTTCACTTTCTTAGTTTAATAAAAGAAAATACATTGAAAGTTACATGCAATGCCTAAAAAAATTTATAGTGCCTAACCAAATATCTTAAACTGATTCATGAACAACATGCTTAACACCATTTAACAATAAAGCAAGTGGGTTTAGTTTCTTTGTCATGAAAAAATAAAGTTGAACTTAATTTGCATGATTTATAGCATTTGACTCTTTTTACAAGAAGAAAAAAAGAGTCATCAAAGAATCTAATTCATTAAATTGAGTAAGGCTTTATTTGAGACAGCTTTCGTATTACTTTTTAAAATATCTTTTTAGTACAAAATTTTCAAATTCAAGAAATTTGTATACTAAAAAGCTGTTTTAGAAAGCAAAAAGAAAATTATCCCAAACGAAGACTTAAATTGAGATAAGAAAGTATATTTTATATATCTCATTTCCTTGCTCTCTTTGGGTCATTTCAATATCAAATTTAAATGAATTGTACGTGATACTTCTCATAATCCAGTGCAAGATGATTGTGATAATATATCGAGGTCGACAAAATGTTCGGTAAAAAAGAATTGGTTAAAATATGACAGTGCTGCATATGATTCGATCAGAA